CCTGGAGTAGGGTAGGACAGAAAAGACTGTCATGGCGGGGCGGCGCTCTCTGCCGGCTCCAGGCTCAGGGACCGACCGCGTGGTAGGGGGTGCCGCTTCCGCTTTCGGGGTGGGAAGCGGAGGCAGTGCTTTTAGGATCCGACGTCCGACTCCCTATGTAATCCGTACTCGCTTAGGTTCTGAGAAAAGTCCTCGGCTCGCACGTAAGATGGGGGGCTTCGTGGGAAAGTGAAAACAGGCCCGTTGGCTTCTCGAAAATGGGGTGTAGGGAGGAGATTGGTCCCTCCCCGGAGCTGAGACCCAGGTGCTGGGCCACGTCGCAGACCCTTAGCAGATGGTTCTTCAGCCTCGGGCGTGCTCTGCGGTCCTTGGCACGGTAACCTCAACTGCGGCAGTACTTGTATGACCCTTCCCACATGGCTACCTAGACAAGGGCAAGGTTTGGAGGGGAGGGATAGTTATAAGTCAAATCTTAATTCGAGTCAGGGTTTTGAAAGTGCTTAATAGGTTTCAAAACCACGGTATTTTTTTTCCAGCAATCATGTCTAAGGGACCTGCAGTTGGCATTGATCTTGGCACCACCTACTCTTGTGTGGGTGTTTTCCAGCACGGAAAAGTGGAGATAATTGCAAATGATCAGGGCAACCGAACCACCCCAAGCTATGTCGCTTTTACTGATACCGAACGATTGATTGGTGATGCCGCAAAGAATCAAGTTGCAATGAATCCCACTAACACAGTTTTCGGTGAGCTTTTTAAATAATTTAAATACATGGGTTTAAGGGGTTTGGGAAGGAAGTAATTTGAAAGCTGTCTGAAGTGTTTAGAAAGCCCTGAGGAATTGCAAAGCCAGTTTAAAAGGTTGAATGTCCTTGAGACTTAAGTAATTTATGTGACAAGGGTAAATTTGAAATTACAGAATTTTTGGAAAATATTTGAGCTGCTCAGCTTGGCTGGCTGGCAATAAGGAGTTTGGATAATGAATTTCGGTTCTGATACTTTATCCAGATGCCAAACGTCTGATTGGACGAAGATTTGATGATGCAGTTGTTCAGTCTGATATGAAGCATTGGCCGTTTGTGGTGGTGAATGATGCAGGCAGGCCCAAGGTCCAGGTAGAATATAAGGGAGAGACCAAAAGTTTCTATCCAGAGGAGGTGTCGTCTATGGTTCTGACAAAAATGAAGGAAATTGCAGAAGCCTACCTTGGAAAGGTGAGTCTGCAATCCCATGTACCATTAGTTTCCTGGTCATGCACACCTTGGGGCAGTTACCAAAAGTAACTGATCAGTAGTTGGCAACAGTATTATGCTGTTGCTCCTGTTTAATCTTGAATGCATTCACAGATTAGACTAAGGCACTATTGGCATGACAGACTTTAAAGTGAACCAAATACAAGTTTGGTTTTAATCTTCTTCTTTATTAGACTGTTACCAATGCTGTTGTCACTGTACCAGCCTACTTCAACGACTCTCAGCGTCAGGCTACCAAAGATGCTGGAACCATTGCTGGCCTCAATGTACTGAGAATCATCAACGAGCCAACTGCTGCTGCTATTGCTTATGGCTTAGACAAAAAAGTAAGTAGCATTTGGGATGTAAATTCGAGTTCAAGATTAATTCACGGACTATTAGCAACTTTAAGTATGACAGTAACATTATTAATTTAATGGCAGGTTGGTGCTGAAAGAAATGTGCTGATTTTTGACTTAGGAGGTGGCACTTTTGATGTGTCAATCCTCACTATTGAAGATGGAATCTTTGAGGTCAAATCTACAGCAGGAGACACCCACTTAGGTGGAGAAGACTTTGACAACAGAATGGTGAACCATTTCATTGCTGAATTCAAGCGCAAGCATAAGAAGGACATCAGCGAGAACAAGAGGGCTGTTCGTCGCCTCCGCACCGCTTGCGAACGTGCAAAGCGCACTCTGTCTTCCAGCACCCAGGCCAGTATTGAGATTGATTCTCTCTATGAAGGAATCGACTTCTATACCTCTATTACACGAGCCCGATTTGAAGAATTGAATGCTGACCTCTTCCGTGGCACCCTGGACCCTGTGGAGAAAGCCCTTAGGGATGCCAAGCTAGACAAGTCACAGATCCATGACATTGTCCTGGTGGGTGGTTCTACCCGTATTCCCAAGATTCAGAAACTTCTTCAGGATTTCTTCAATGGAAAAGAATTGAATAAGAGCATCAACCCTGATGAGGCTGTTGCTTATGGTGCAGGTAATAAGATGATTTTAACCAGTCACTAAAGAGGCCTAAATTAAACTCAACAGATTCGCTGTGATGATTGATTCCTAAACATTCGTAGTTTCCACCAAAAGCGTTGCTAATGATGGCCCAACTTCCTTGGATGTCTGAGCGATAACATTTGTTAATTACTAAAGTGAGACTTGGACTGGTTATTTTTGTTTAACACTAACATTCATTGTGTTTTTAGCTGTCCAGGCAGCCATCTTATCTGGAGACAAATCTGAAAATGTTCAAGATTTGCTGCTCTTGGATGTCACTCCTCTTTCCCTTGGTATTGAAACTGCTGGTGGAGTCATGACTGTCCTGATCAAGCGCAATACTACCATTCCTACCAAGCAGACGCAGACCTTTACAACCTATTCTGACAACCAGCCTGGTGTGCTCATTCAGGTTTGTTTCCATACAGTCTTTTTGGTTAGAGGCCAAATAAAATTGGGAAGACTTGTTCTTGCTGTGATGATGGATTCCAGAACCATTCGTAGTTTCCACCAGAAGTCTTGAGGCTTATGTTGGGCAACTCCTTCCTTGGATGTCTGAGCGACCAGTCTTTTCTAATTGAGTTTATGTCAAAGTAGAACTAGCGTGGCAATCTTAAATTCATTGTAATTCCTGTTTTTTTTAACTAAGGTTTATGAAGGTGAGCGTGCCATGACCAAGGATAACAACCTGCTTGGCAAGTTTGAACTTACAGGCATACCTCCTGCACCCCGTGGTGTTCCTCAGATTGAGGTCACTTTTGATATTGATGCCAATGGTATCCTAAACGTCTCTGCTGTGGACAAGAGTACTGGAAAAGAGAACAAGATTACCATCACTAATGACAAGGGTAAGTCTGGACACAAAGTGCATGATACTGTTATGCAGTCTTATAAAAAGTTGGTGCTGGTAAAAAGGGGCCACAGTGGTACTAGATTCCACTGTCAGGGACATTTAGCTAAAGTTACTTTCAGGACCTAGTGGAGCCAAAGACATTGTAGTTCAGAGGTTA